CTCTTTCCCATTCCAGATCTATGTAATCTTTCTTAACAGTACTTACATTTCAAAAAGTTTTAATATACAGTCTGACTGTAAAAGTAATTCTGCATACTGCAAAACATACAAGATTCTATAGAAAGAAAATATTTCTCCCGAATCTTACTTCCCAAATATAACCACAGTGATGTTTTGGAGAATCTCCCTCCACGTATTATCCTATTCGATTATTTGATTACTGGTAACACTGAATTCTGTTCCGTTTATGAGCTTAAGTTTTTCTTAGTTTACTACAGAAAATTTTTTAAAATTTACTGCATATATTAAGAACATCACTGATTAATTCACAAGCAGAGAATGACTCGCCTCATGATGTGATTTTCCCCTTTGGAGAAAGATGTGTTTCCTATTTCCTTCAATTGGCTTATGTTTTCTGGAGAAGAAAGTGGTCACTAACATTACCCCCAACCAACGAACGTTGTAATGACCCAAAACCCAAAGGTCAGCATGGAGTTTACAACAGAGAAAATTGCAGACTAACTTTTACAACACGTAGCCAGCACTGTCCATCAGAAAGAGAACTGTAGCTTATTTTGATGAGTCAAAAGCCCCCAATGGATTCAGCTTTTTGAGTCCCTGATGGAAAATTAGTGATCTAATAGTACAATTGTTTTTCCTCAATAAATAGCGCCACCTTCTGGTAATTTCTTGCATCTGCACACTGAGTTTATGAACCCCTGAGGATAGCAAGATAGAAACCTGACTCAGCATCTAGAACTACACTGCCATGGCTATTGGCTGATGTTTTAGATCATTGTACCCATAATGCAGCCAAATATAAGTATGAGCTGTGACATTTCTTGTTGCCCAGAGCTGTGCTCAAAGACAGCAGGCCCAGTTTCCAGTGCCTCTCTCTCTGCCTTTTGCCATCTGTGTGCTTGCGGGAAGAGCACTGGCTGGAACCAGGCCCGGGTTTGAGTTCCACCTCTGCTGCTTTTAGCCATGTGGCACCCCCCCGCGCAAGGGCCTCAACCTCCATGGCCTCTTTATCCCAGCTCTCGCATAGAATTGGTTTGGAGGATCAAATGAGTGGCATTTTGTAAATCCTCCGTGCGCTCCCCATGTAGTGACGTTGGCCATTTTCTCCTCTGACATTCTGACTTTGGGTTTTCCTCACTTTGCCAGGTAGATGAAGAGTATAAGAATCCTCACACGGTGGACAGAGTTCCTCTGGGGAAGGTGCCCCATCTGTGGGGTCAGTCCTTGTACATCCTCAGCTCCCTGTTGGCAGAGGTAAGGGGCTTGGGGGCTTCACAGACTGGAAACCATCTGATTGGAAGTTCAGGGGACCCTGGAAGAACACAGGGGCTCTCTGCTCAGTGTGGCTATGAATATCTTTGGCATCTTTTTTTTTTTTAAGATTACATTCTTTTTTAATTTTTTTTTTAAGATTTTTTTTTTTTTGATGTGGACCATTTTTAAAGTCTTTACTGAATTTGTTACAATATTACTTTTTTTTTTTTTTTTTTTTTTTTTTTTTAATACTCGGGCCTCTCACTGTTGTGGCCTCTCCCATTGCAGAGCACAGGCTCCGGATGC